TATATATATATATATACATATATTTATATATATTTATATATAGCTTTAAGAGAGTTAGACCTACCATAAAATTAAGGAACGTTCGACCTCGACACGTGATATCGAAATGGGTGAAATCGCCTCTTGATATGACTAACTATCTTGAAGCCTGAAAATCTTGAAAATCATTCCAGCCCACCGATCCCCACAGCAAGCATTTCTCAAAGCTCTGTTTGCTGCAATTCTCACCGGAACTGCGGGGTGGGAAATGGGTTTCCGTGCCATAGGATTTTAGCGAGTTGCATAAATGAACGTCCTTAAATTTGGAGTAAACTGTGATCGAAGGGAATATTCCGAAAACATATATCGAATCCTTATTTTAGAGAGCGCGGGTTTCTTTTTCCTTTTCTCGCTTGCCTCTTGTGTTCCATAATTTACTTTTTTGCAAGTTAATTACATATTTAAAGAAGCAGTATGACAACTATTTTTCAAACCACCGCAACCGGAAGTAATTGGGATAATGACATTATTCCCGTAATCAAGACCGTTATGGAATTCCATGCGAATTATGAAACTTGTTTGGAATGCAATGGTGCATCAACAGGTAAGCAGATATTTACTAACTGGAATAAATAAATAATGTTCAATACGAGAACATTTCGACAATCCTGGGACATTTGCTCACCTGAAGCCCCATCTGGGAATATAGTACAAAATAAAATTGGAAAATAGTTGGATATAAATAATGAATTGGGATATTCTCAAATATAGCCTTAATGAACAAATTACTCGAAAGGGATAGGTTTAATTTAATTTTCCCAGTTCCGGACTCCCCCCTCCCATGTAAAACAAATGAAGCCATTTGACTTCCAACTCCAAATAAAATGTTGAAAATTAAAGACACGTGGAACTCCAATGGGCGGTTCATATTATCAGCAAGGAACAATGAAAAAATTTCGCATTCTTCTTGACATTGTTACATGTGAATGGCTGGACTGGGTTTGGTTTTGCGATCGTCAATGAAGATATTTGTCGTGTGTCTATAAAGGAGGAGGGTTATCGAGACAGAAATTAGAATCAGCCAGAAGCGAATATCTGCTTGGAATAAAAAGAACTGGGAGCAAGTAGTAATGGCACAACATTTAAGTAATACAAGCAGGGCAAAATTGATGTTCTTACTTTTCTGGAACGTTTTGGGAACAAATGGGAATATCACAATAATCCCTACCAATCACACCGCTCTTGTAACACCAAGGACCTCCCTCGTCACCGTTCCAGTTCCGACAGAAGTTGTGTGTTGGGTGCAAGTCGTCCAATATCCGCAGGTGGAGATTTTTGACCGACTGAAGTTCATTTCCATCATAGTCCGAATACATATCTTGTTCTTTTTCCATCCGACCAGCAATGCACGGCTGGCACTTGTGTCCTTTGTTGGTCACATTTTTTGTGCCTATGTAGGATTCTCCCATCATGTCTTTCTTACATTCAAGTGGGGCTGTAAAAAAAAAATAAAGAAACATGTGCATCTGCAATTTAGTCCGCGTATCGGAAATGTATTGGGATACATTGGATCATAAGAACCAACTTGATGAACAGTTTGATGAACATGAGAAGTTTCTCAAGAAGAGTTTGTTGCTCACTGACACATTGCCCTCCAACTCGAACGTCGCATTTTCCGACGGTGGGACAAAATGGAACGTCGCAAGATCGCCAATAACGCCAAGTCATTTCGATGTCGGTATAACATCCCGGACCACTTGCGTAGAAGTCATCGTTACGACAAAACGCGTGACCTCCATCCAATTCATCGTGTAATATGAGTTCCGAATTATCATTAATTAGCATGAGCCAAGGTAGACAGGGAAACCCCCTTATCGTCACGTTTTGCTTCCCCACGTACTCCGCTCCATGCCAAGTAATTTTACATTCTGGTGGATCTATGAAACGAAAAGGATCGGTTGAAATATGATGAGACGACATACGCGTAGGTTCATATTTATTAATGGTCTATAGTCGCGCCTTCGGCGCTCCATTACCTTAAATAAATATTAATTCATTCGTTCTTTGCGAAATGGTAAACACGTATTTAAAGTACGTCCTCATTGAAATACATGACTTATGGGGACGGAAGTCTTGATTTGTATCAAAATCATTACTTCTATTATGTTTCAAAATATGTTCCCTCGTGGATTTTATTTTCGTTCTTAAATGTTGACTCAAAGCTATGCTTTGAGGAAACGCACAACAAAAGTTGAATTTGTCCTTAAATCAAAATCACCTCCATTACGCGTGCGCCAGCAGTTACTTTTCTATTACTGCCCGATTCACTAGGATCTGAAACATTATTTGAAAACGTTACGTCCCTAATAATATGCTCCTAAAATATTTTGCAAATTTGACGTTTGACATTTGAGCTCAGTGCGTCAGCAGTCACGTTCTTGCCAAGTTTCAACTTTCCATGCGTCTCCGTTTAATTGAAACAAAGAGAACTATTTGAAAATATGTTCCCCGAAAAGGTGTGCCCCTATGGCATCTATCACTAGAGTGGAATTTTTCATGAACTCAGTATGCGAAAGCTACTTATGTTAGTGAATCAGATATTCGCCATCTTCTATATATATTGATAATAAATGTAGAATTTTTTCCTTACACAGATATCCATTAGGTACTTCTATGCCACGTTTAAACTTTTTCGCCCTCTGTTTTTCTGGATCAGGGTTAAAGTAACAATTGCCTTCCTTAGTTCGGTGAATATCACTTGAAAGACGCTTTATTTTCTGATGCCGAATTCGGGCTTGTGGTCCTATATGAACGGACGGACTCCTTTCTTGGTATCGTTCATAGCAATTCGCTGAAATATACTCCGGAGAATTCAGTCTTATTGTAGGATAAAGTTCCATTCAAGTGATGATATTCGATATAGATATAAGAAATTGCTACTAAAATCACTCCCGTTTTCCTTATTAATAATGCCTTATTAATAATGAGTGTTGTCCTATGACAGCGTTGATCGTGCATGGTCATCGTGAGCAGCTTTTCCCATTTGAATCTGTATTTTACCCATTATTATTGCTGCGTAACATCACTGAGTATAGTGAATGCCTTTATCACGTGAAACCGCTTCACCGCGTCAGTATTGCTTATATGTTAATTAAAAGGGCGCTTCAGTATGACATCAATGATTCAACATTGATTCAATGTTGACTCGATGTTGAAAACAGCAATATAGCGAGAACGTTGGAAAACGTTACATCAACAGATGTCAGACGAGACATCTGGTGAGACATGCAAATATGCAAGATTTCCAGACCGTGAAGTGTGATGGCAACTTTTGGCCAACACACGGAGTTACCTGATATATGTAATGAGTACGCGTCTCTTGTACGTATGGGGTAGTACTTAATATGTGCACTAGTAAGCCCCACTCATAATAACAGAAACTCAAGGTGCTAATATTGTAGTGCGGAATGAGAATAGACGAACTTAGGTCTTGGCAGAACGGAATGTCACAGTACTCCCACTTCGTGTCGATGTCGGAAACGAAGCACCATGGTCGCTCCCTGAACACTCCTGGGTTTCTGCAGTGGTTATGGCCGACTTTATCGCTAGGCAAGTGAATGCGGGGATGAAAATACTTCGTGAAATGCTTTTCCTCTCTCGGAAAAAAATCCCAAGGGACGCCATATGGATTTAAATCCCACGATAGACAAGTCTTTCCAGTTTCTGTCTTGTTCTGGCTCCCAACGTATTCCTTCCCTTTCATTGTTAGTAGGCATTCCGGGTACACTCCCGTCCTGTCTCCAACATCTTCAAATAGCCTATTGGAGAATGGGATGTCGCAATAACCCCCCCGGATGCCGTCTCCATATTTGTAGTAGCACCAATGAGCAATGTTCACACTCATGTAGTACGGGGTGTCCATCTTCATCATATGTGGATTTCGGCAAAAGTTGTGATGCACGTCGGCGTGATCTGGATCCGGGAATACCCATTTGAGATCATCAATGGGTATTATTTCATTCCAAGGCAGGCATGGATCTCCTAGGATCGCCACATTCTTTCTTCCCATGTATTCACCGCCCTGTTGAGTCAGCTTGCACTCCGGGGGGACTTGTGGCAAAGAAGGAGAAAGTCCCATTTCATTTGGAATTCATATCCTTCAAGACATATTGATTCTCCTTATAATATCCGAAGAAGATTTTCGTGTGACTTAGTTGCTTCATATATTCCGACATTCTTTCGCTTCTCGGATACTAAACCCATATTGAAACATGTGAGACAATGAATGAAGTTCTTGCTATAACATTTTTAGACTTGAGGTTTCATTTTCCGTCCATCATTTACATAGCGTTTGAAAGTAACTTCCTGCATTTAAAATATGAAAATATTTAAATATATATTGTAACCAAGATCCAAGCAAGCCTTTGTTCGGTATTAATTTAGAAAATCTGGTAAATAGGTCATTTAAAATATAGAAGTCTTGCGAAAATATTGTCATGTATTTGTGTCCTAAATAAGAATAAATGTGGATTCTTATTGAAATTCCTGATCTTTATCAATGTTGAAACCAGAAATCGGAATGGTTGTGACTTTTTCATGTATGTGTTCTTAATCCTCAAGGAGATTATTAGAATCTGTTTTCCTTTCTTGGGTCGTTTCGGAAACTTTCTAAGCGAATATGTTATAATGGAGTCTGTTTTGCCTCTAGCGAACAAATTCGCTATGAGCATGGGTACTCAATTTTTAGAAAAAAGGTTATAGTGCATTTTAAGTATTGTTTTTCGTTTTTCGCAACTATTAATGTGATAAAATACTTTCGGTCAGAAGTATTTTACATGGTGATTTTATATTATTTTTGGTTTTGCGATGCCATTCCCAGATAACGTTGACCAATTGGAGACTTAATTTCTCCCGAAACATCACCTTGGAGATTGTTCTTCGCATAGGAGTTATTCCTTGGAAAATCGCACAAAAGTTTCCCAAACTTTTCATTCAGGCAACATTTACATTTTTGCAGACATCTCAACTATCATTATAAAATCGGAGTCGAGTTGCCTTCCCATTCTCCTGTGTCTCCCACATGTTTTCATTTGATATACCAAACTTGGGTGGCGATAAATGAGGGTCTTCAATCTTAATTGCAAATAGCGATGTTTGATGTTTGGATTGCAAATAGCGCGAAAGCACTTGAACGAACTTCTAGGGGACAAATGATCATGTGGACCAACATGTGCTCTTCACGGGCAGCTGAAGCTATAACTCCTAAACTTGTTTGTCACCATATGTGACCGGTTTTTTAACGAAGTTTCCGAAAAAATGCGGAAAGCCGAATGCGACATATGTACGCAACATCAGCTGAATGTTTAAGAACAGAAATGTAGAATTCCTCAGTTCGCGAACGTTGATTGCATTGACAGTTATCTTAACTTTAAAAAAAATTTCGAAAATGCCGAAAACCCAGACAGATAGGAAAATGCGAAGTGGAAGCTTGAAGAAGTCAATAATGGCGACTTTTCAATCTCTATCCGAATTAATTTCGTCCTCGCCTTCTACCCTAACAGGCCTCTTTCGAGAATCTTGGCAGCAGAAACGATGTCAATTGTCTCCTTCTTCCGCAAATATTGAGAACATTCCGGGAATATTATTGACGTGACGCGAACTCGAGGGTTCTGACCATGAGATTGAACTCGTGGAAGTCTGCCACCCCCTTAAAAAGAGGAGAATTGAAATATCAAAGAACATTCGGAACTGCTTAGATGATACCTATGGAACAATGGAAATTATAATATCCTTGTCGACCTAAACAGGATTTCTTCGCTGGAAAGGGTAGTTTGAAGCTCGTCTAAACGCTGTTGAGACAATTTCTTTTTTAGATCTGCCCATATTTCGACTGAAGATGCGCAGTCGAGGAACATACGGGTTAGAGTGTGGATTTCATAACTAAAGGGGCATGTCTAATAAGGACTCCATATAGATAATACTTTTTTGCTCATAATCTTGTTTTGTTATGCTCATAAACAAAAGAAAATGCACAACCAAGGATTTGCGCAACCATCATGACATTTTGAACGCAGCCCCTTACTAGTGTAGCATGAAACCAAAATTTTTAAGGTGTCAGATGTAATTTCGGGGAGAAACAGGACCCTAAATAGTTCATTTCAATACCGGCTTTAGGGTTATACCACTCTCCCGAAATGGGCACAAAAATGTTTCATGGATGAAAGTTGTTAGTTCTAAAAATGCGCAAAACTATAGAGCTAACATTCAAGGTCGTGAAATTAGCCAATACTGATATTTAAAAAAACTTGCAACCATCCGAGGACTCGCGGAAATGAACGGCACTTCTCCATCTCTCAAGCTGCTTCACCGTTTGACCTTTAGGAGCAAACTGCGATGCAGCGTTAAGATGAAAACTCTGAAGGCACTATCAACAAGCTTTTACTGTGTTTCATTGGTGTAGGGTCATCGGGATGCATGTATAAGCTTCATACATCAGACTGATACACGTTTCAAGTTGATGCAAAGTGTCATTTTTTCAGCAATTGTGCTGCTACTATGATGAATTACAAAGTCATTATCTTTGTAGTTTGCTTAGGCAGCGAAGAGTTTAAACCCAAGCGTTAAGAGCCGTTTTCAGATTCGGAATGCCTAGAGGGGAGCAACAATAGAACGGGTGAAGCCTTGGAGCAGAAACTTCTAGTAGATCCCTACACAAATTGGAAGGAAATGCAGATAGAAAAGCTTGCTGCTCTCACTGAGTTGTAACAAAAGTGGACAAATGAAGTACACAATCGCGTTGCCACTTCCTTTACCCTTAGCAGTAACACTAGGCAAGTCACAAGGGTTAACTTAAGAGAGGGGAGAGGTCAAAATTATCGCCAAGGAAAATAACGACTTGCAATCGTTCCTTGCCCTATAGAAAGCAAGAATAATGGATTTGCTAATCACGCGACCAATCACATTTGGGCAATTAATATCCGCAATAGTTCAAAAGAATGAGTATAGAATGCAAATTTCTAGACTACATTCGTGGAGCATGAATGATATTGACTATCTTGGGGCATTTTTATTCCATAAATTTTCAGGCTAAAATTCTGAAAATTCCATGAATGTCATAAAAAATGCAACTTTTTCTTACTTAGAACACGGAAAAACACATACAATGAATCATGATCTGCTGATGTTACGACCTAAAATTGGTTATTAACCAGCATACAAAGTGTAAAAGCCTATGTGATTTTGCATTGCTCCTACGGATCATCTTACCCTTCCTGTCAACCTTCATTCTTTCATGCGGAAACACGTCACTGTCATTTGTTCTCTCTCGAAATACGTGAAAAATAGTACAATATTTTACCTGTGTCAGTGCACATTGGGATATTGCAGTATTCCTTCGTCATATTAGGGCCGGAAACGAAGCACCAGGGTCGTTTCCTACCCCATCGATTCCGGCAGTAGTTGTGTTGAGACTAGGAGTCGCGATTGAGGAAACTGCCCTCTAGATATAGGATAAGGATTGGCGTTCCAGAGGGGTCAGAGGTCGAGAAGTTAAGATATGGGGAGTCCGGGAAGTCATCTTCTGGTAGATAGGGATAGTCTCTCCAGTAGAAACAATTCTGTCCTGATACTGTCACACTCACTTTTCTAACATATTCCCTGCCCCTTTCCGTCAGACGACATTCAGGATATATATGCACTTTCTCACCTGCCAATAATGAAATCCAATATGAGAGCGACAATAAAGGAGAAAATATGAATGGAATAATAGACGGATTAAGTTATAACGGAAATTTTAAATGTGATTTCTTTTTTAATCTCTCATACGAAAGACATATCTCTTCGAGATACTGTTTCTGGATAGAAATTAAGAAATCATGCTTTAGCCATGTATCATCTCCAGATGCTCGTCTTTCATTTTGTTTGTCACGCTCGGCGATATTAATTTTTTTTAAAGTTGAGTGATATCAGCCTTCAGGAACACGGGAGTCAGGGAGTGAATAAAGTTTATGCATCACTTAGGCCCGTGTGACGTATTAGGTGGAACATTGAACCGACTTGCCACAGAGGCAAGTCTGCCCAGACCGACAAGTGATACAATAATGTCCCCTCCCCACTGTAGACTTGGCCAACGGACATAATTTCTCCGATTAACTTCGTCTTCTGCGTGGGAGGAGAATTAGACGCTCACGCAGATATGCTTTGAAAGCGTCATAAAACGGCAGTACCAGTAGTGGGTACTGAAAAATTACGTGCTTTCCTAGCGTCCGACCGACCAAGCACTTACTCGCAAAAGGACATTCATTGGCAGAAAATGGGAAGGAAGTTAAAGTTCTGAAGGGGTAAGCCATGATACATGCTCTGCGAACTGATATACCGCTAATTCGAAGTAATTAGAACAGATAACTGGTGAAATTGAAGCGCAAGTACGAGCCCATGGCTGCGATGGTTTGTGATACCGGGGCATGTTATGAAGGACACACAAAATACTCATTTTTCTATTGATAATCGAAAACCAACAATTAAATTTTCAGTGTACATGAATGAAGTCTTGACTGATGAAATCCTAGAATTATAGCAAAATCGAGTGTGGGAATTTAGGTCAAGGTCAGGTCAAATTTTAAAGTCATTATAAAACATGCAGACCAAGAGCATTGCTTTTATCACTATGAGTGATATCATATCAGCTTATCACCTATCATATGCTAGGGAATTTTATAATCCATCCAATGATACCATTTTCACGTGGTAATCTTCATTACTAACGGAGTTATTACAGTTTTTGTGCTCCCTTTGGGTTCCAAGTGCCCCAAAATCGAGGCGTCTTTTGATTGCATATCATTCTCAGAATACAAAATGTATGGAGCTGAAATTTTCTATAGTTTGTTTTCTCATTTGGTACTATCAGCATGCCGAAATTCAATGAAATCGAAGAGGGTAGGGGAAAAAAGTGTGCGGACTGACATGGAATCATCCTTATGCGAGGGGCAATGACTTTTGCACCTTAATGTATGTAGTCTACCACATGAATATACAATATGTTGAGATTCCATCCAAACTAGAACAAAATCGATGAATAAATAAAAAATGGTCACGATTAGAATTTCAAGTTATAATTCTAAACAATGGTGGGGATACTTTTCGGCTTGTTTTTATCAGGAAAAAACGGATTCGAATCGGGACAATGTCAGAAATAGCAACGACCGGTAACACCTACAATGACGTCATTCTAACATCAAACCATTCTACATTCTTCCTGAACCACAGGGATACAAACCTTGTTTTTGTAGCCATGTTTCCCCTTTCGACTCCGCATCTAGGAAACTGCAATGAATTTTTCCTTATTTTTATTTCCACACAAGTCTTGCTTACCTCAGAATCGCATCAGGGTGCCCCTGATTTCTGTCCCTGATGTGTGCATTGATTTCAACAGAACTAATATTTTAAACGCACATATTAATATCTGAATGTAAAGTTTGAATCTCAACAGATGACGAACTTCCGAAAGAATCTCACAATTTGCATTTACACCGTGTCCTCCTTGTTACACTCGAAGTGGAATGGAGAATACAATTGAAAAGATGAGCATGGATCTCTATTAGGTGACAATAAATTTTTATGATAATATGCTCTCACATTTCACAGCATCCTCCCGGAAAGAGATGCACCAAGAATCCGGATTCAAAGGAGCGCATTCAGCCGTGTGAAGAAGAGCTCCATCCGAGAATCCTCTTGGATGTTCGCAACGGAACTTGACTATCCCCCGTGCTGGAGCACGGTACGTTCCGTTCCATCCCTCGAAGGACACCTTCGCATTTTCAATCGTCGGATACTCTCTCAGACACAACCCTGTATTTAAGATTTCGTGGTCTCGATTACGTTTACAAATCTATTGAAATAAAAGTAAGAAAATTTCGACTCACACTGTACGTAGGACCAATATCCATTCGCATCCACGAGTCTGCTCATCCTGTTGAGAATCAATTGGCAGGAACGATCGGTCTCCCGATAGTTGAAGGCATAGCAGGGAATCGGTTCATGCATCACGCAATTAATGGTGCATGTTCCGAGGGACAGCTCCTGAGATTCTGATGTCACATTCTCGTATCTCTGCCCTTTATGCACACCGAGATATGGAATCAATTCGACGGAGGCTACTCCTCGTGATAAGAGTAAGTACGCAAGGATTATCCTGATTATGTCCTCCGGGGATCCACGAGGTTCCATTCTTAAATATTACTCCTCTGGAAGTAGAGGGATGACTTGGGTGAGAGTGACCGGGTCGAGGGTAGAACCTTCACATGAACTGCATTGACTGCATCGCCCACTTGGTGGCCTAGTAACATTGATCTGTTCTTTGTATATGCTGTTCTGAATGAAACTCAGGGAATGTTGATTAATGAGTTCCTTTTCAATCAATATAGCTTGAAGGTTGTGTGCTACCTGGAAACGGCCTTGCATTTGTTCGCCCCAAGGCGGCTTCGGAGCAGAACCGCAACATCATTTTTCCCATTTTATTTCTCCAAGCTTTCCATTCTATGAGAGAAAAACCGTATGGAAAATGAATTGATGGAATTCATAGACTCTGGAATCCATTAATTGAAAGAGGAGTTACGAAATTTTTCGTGTTGCAAAGATTATTCACATGCATACAAGTGGAAATTCATGAAAATGAATTTGACACTTAACCGGAAACCATTCCCGCACGCTGCTTTATTTTGTTTTCGTTCCGTGAAGAAAATGCGAGTACGAGAGACGAAGACGTACACCCAGAGCCAGGCAGACGACTCTTTGGTGACATGCACCATAACAGTTTCACTTTACACTGATTCGATTTCATGATGTGCGTTTTGGGAAATAAGTTCTCAGTTAAACTGATTCCCATACGGGACAATTGTGAGATCCGATTAGTTTAGCCTAAACGGATCCGCTTCATGTTACCCTTTATGGGGAGAGCGGGGGAGAGCGCACACGTAGGTCGTGTGTGAGCGCCCATGCCAAGGACCACCAACCACCACCACCTGGGACCACAGTAGATTTTATAATATTGATTTAGTCACGAATACGTTTCCAAATCCTTCGAACCCGATAGTTGAAGGTGCAGCGGGCACGTCCCGCGATGAGAGTAAGAACGCATAGATGATCCTGAGTTAGTCTTCCCTGGATTTGCGAGGTTCTATTCTCATGACTGCGTCCTCTGGAAGGATGGGAATGGCTTAGGTGGGAGTGAGCGAGGCGACTGTGGAACATTTTGATGAACAGTCATGACATCAATGCCGACGTCTGTGGTCGAAAAACATTGCTTTTCTTTATTACAAACGTTTTTTTGACGGATATTCAAGAGAAGCTGACTCATTATTTTTCCATGGAATCAATATTGCGTGAAGGTTACGTGTTGCCTGGAAACGGCCTTGACTCGATTTGTTCCGTACTGCACCTTGCCTTTTGGCAAGGCAGCAACATTCTGAGACTTATATTTCCTTTTATTCCTGTACTGTAATCACATTGAGGCATGTGACACTAAGTTTGATAATGGGTAGTCATCTGTAATCCATTTATTAGAAGAAACCTGCGCATTTTTGGCCTTATAAAACAGGTGCATACAGGTAGGTGGGAGTACAGGGATTAGGTCTGCATTTTGTTATGGAATTTCGAGGTAAAGGGCATAACCAACCTATCGAAAAATCCGTTTTAATTGCCGCTTTCTTCCCAACATACGCAATCGTCCTTGAATAATGTTTGGAATATTCTGTTTTTTTTTTAGATTTCCTATGACGCTCATCAAGGAAATGAATTTCATACGTGACCGTGTCTGTCAATTCAATTACATTGTTGAGCACACTGTGTATTCCATCTTTTAACATTTTTGTTAAGCTAATATCGGTCCTTCGAAAAATAAGGACAAAATAATCGTCCCCTCTGGAGTTCTTTTCCATGAGTTTCCTTTAGTAAGGGCCATTACAGAAGGTGTCACTTAAAACCCTATGTAAATGTCATGCTTCCACAGAGAACTATCACTCAATGCAGAACTCATTTGAATATGCCATAGGGCAGTGGTTCTCAACCGGTGGGCCGCGGAGGCGCTGAGGGTGGGCAGTGACAAGTATCCATAAATCTAAAAATGGGAATTAACAGTTAGGAGAGCAATAAATAGCTTTTAAGTCTGTTGTGGATCACTTTGTATTTGTTAAAGTGGGCCGCAGGATCGAAAAGGCTAAGAAGCACTGCCAAAGGGGACTTTTTCTCAAGAAAGAGTCCTCTGGAAAATATGGGCTTTGGTCCTGCACAAAGGATGGGTGGGTGCATCGCCAATCCACGAATAATGATGAATTCAAATAAATAACAGAGGCAAATGCAAATTGTAATGCCTTTTAATAAAACCAAGGGGCGCTGCATAAGTTGAAATTAAAATTGATTTTCGATATTGAATCGGAATCATGCAATTCGAAGTCATATCAACAAATGTAAAAATAACCATATCACTTTCGATTGCATTTTTGTTTTAATGTATCTTTTTTCTTCCAAATTTAAAATGTTTCTCTCCCCCTCACCCCAGAAAAACGTTAACCCTCACGGGCTTTTTCGTATATTTGAAAAAAGCCGTAAGGAAGTAACCATTCATGGAGGCACCGCAAATTGATGAGTGGCATAAACAACTGATCATCAAAATCGTTCCAATTGTCGCTCTCTCCCTCGCGGATACAGTCATCTTTGAATTCAATGTAAAGTTTTAAAGTAATAAGTGGACTTCCAGCGACACACACTTACAAATATATATTTATTGAGAGGGAGTATCTCACCATCCTGAAGTTCCTGTTTATGCACAGGCATGCACAAAATTAGACTTTATTTTCCTGTTCATTCGGAAAGAAAGATACATTATTCGCCATACTCTGTTCATTCAATATTTTTTAATCTGATACTTGCAATCTTCAATAAAAACACTTGACATTTACTTCTGAAACGTATTTCCGAGATGCATTAGCAATTATTATAAGCCGCGTTGTCCCTCCACCCCCGAAACCCTTTCGCATCTGGAATCGATCGATAATTCTGACTTATTCCATGTTTGCTTCCCTGGAAAGACGCGAAGTGTCAAGCCCGAAAGTGTGCGTTGCTTTAGTACGAAACGCTCGCAGATTGGAATTTTGAGGCAGGATTTCGAGTATACGAATTAAGCACTGTCGCAATCTTGCATGAAAGCTAGATGCGTGAATATCGAGTATAACTCGAACCTTGGTTTGTGACGTTCTTTGCCTTTTTGATGTGGAACATTAAGTAGTTTAGAATTCCGATAGTCGTCAGTAAGAGGCCTCGAATTGGGAGGTGGAGGAAATGGAGCAAATTTGTTCTCAGGAATTGTTTTTCAGTCCTCCTGCCAATGAAGTATGGGAGGCGTTTGTTTGCGCTCTTTCCGACAGTGAGTAACGATCATAGTCCTTTCTCCGTTGAAGTCATCGATTCCTCCGCCGTACTTTCTTCGAATGATTGACTCGAATTGGACAAGGAGGGACAATCTCCTGGAGAGCCATTCTAGATTTGTCCTGGTATCTCCTTCCAGAGTTCATCAATCTCGCCTGTCTTCTTCCTCGATATTCTATCACTTCTCCAATGCCTAGAGCCTCTGAGACTGGTGTTCCCGTACGTAGGAAACTTACGTGAACAGTACACTCCATGAACGAGTGGTGATGATTGAGTTCGTAGAATTCCATGTTGAAAATAATCGTTGCTTGAATGTTTCCAGTACGTTTAACCCTATGTCCCCTTTGACTGTATATGACAAAGGCTTAAAATATTTGGCAATGCAAAATGTTTCTGCCCTGGAAAGTGCTTTTTATCCGCAAGTAAAGAGACATTCTTCTTATCCCTGTTTCATTTCGACCCAGATGATTTCTAAGACGCTTCGATTTTGACAAACTAAACACTGCGACCCATACACCAAACAAGTCAATGGAACCAATACCAGGGCTCTGCAATCCTTTAAGATGTTTCGCAAGAAAACTTCTCCGGGAAAAGGCATGCCCACCATTTCCTCTGCTTCGTTATTTCAATGGGTTCAATGCCCACAATTTCTCTAATTCTGAATGTGAGGGACAAAACTGTCAGTGACATGGTTGAATTTGCACGGCTGCAGCTCAGCCAATAGGATTTCAGTTGACACGTGACTAGCACCTAGCGACTAGCACAGGAGTATGATTGACTAGTTAAATTGAACACGTCATACTCGAGTTATGAGGCATCAACTGGAACTGTATCAAACATCGACACAGTTTTGTTCCTCACTGTATGAGGGTCAACATACTTTTGTATGAAAGTTTTACAGCAACTCAAATTGGTCCGTTTCATCATATTACTCCCTGCTTTTTTCATAAAATGATATTCCCTATTGATGTTGGTAAATGACTCTATCTTCCCCATGTTTAGAAACCTCTGGAAGAGTGCTTTATGAACCACAGCAGTGCTGTATTCCAAAAGCTCAGCAGTTTTTACCTCGTCAACGAATATACATTATAGTGTAAAGGTTTGGTTACATGTTCACTATTGATTACATGGGTGTGCGACTATTCGCCCTCTTGATCAACTAGGGTGACGTGAATGCCCTCCATTGCGGTCGATTGGCATTGGTTTTTCATTCTTTCTTCACATGTCATGGTGTTCTGATGAATATGAAAGGGAAGTTGATTGATAGATTTTCCTTCGCTAATTTATGGTCCTTTGTGGGGATACTGGGGAGCATATGCACACTCTTACCGTGGACGTATCCACCTAGTCCTCTCGTTTCTTTTCCTGTTCTTTTTGTCAAATGCTTCTTCAACACCCCAACAGCATTCTGTGCTTGCTCCAGCGTGGATTATGCTTTTCATGCCCATGCTCATTCATAAAATTCAAGTTGATCTTGACGTTCCATCTGCATCGAATGCATAACCAGGCGTTGAAGCAACATCCAATGAATAGAATTTCAATGATACATGAACGCAGCGCGATATACTAAGCATATTGAAGTTTTACATTATTTGAATGTGTATACTTCCCACTCCCAAAATGATTCGTGCTGAACTGTTTCCTCCGCCATTTCATTTTCATTTTTCACTTAACTAGACATTATAAATGAAAGAACCCAAATATTGTTGATAACTTTGACATGTGTGTTAACTGCAAACCAAACTAGATCGCGATATATCAAAGAGATATGAAGTTATTAATTCTGAAAATAACGTTACATGTTC